CATAAAAGTTAAGATTTTTAGGTTAATGACTAATTTTATGTGTTTATTATACCTTTGTGTTTAATTGAAATGGTGAAATCTGAATAGATTTTTAAGTTCTAAATATTAGAATTTTGTACGTAGTGCAAATAAGGAAGGATTTGGTAAATAAAACTTAGTAGATTTTATATACTTAAAAATCAAAAAAATAATTATATGACTATTTTATCTAGTGGGAACTCTATTTTTAAAAGCTGGTAAAAAGGTGAACGATAAGGACCTTCGTACTTTTAATACAATATAAAAAATATAAATTCTTTCAAGGCAATATTACTTTCATTTTCCCTTTTAAGTTTAGGTGTCTTTTTGGGACTAGAGGACAAAATGATTGCTCCTTGAAAGGTTCTTTCTCTGTAATTTTTTAAAGTAATCTGATTCCTTCTCGGAAATGTATTTTCCTTTTTTGTTATTGTTACATTTTAGGAATTGGGACAATCTAATTCCTTCTTGAATTTTTTTAACCTACGTTTATTTTAAGAATGTTTCTTTTATTTATTTACATATAGAATTTTGTGGATGTTTAAAAAACTTTGAACGCAATTTAATTCCTTATCAAAAAGTGTCAAGTTTATTTAATTCAAATATAAAATAATACACGCACAGTGTATGCACATAAAAGCTAATATTATTATAAAAGCTCAAATTTTAATACAAAATTGTAATTAATTTTTTTAATCTTTCACAAATACATTCTATGCTGGATAAAGTTGTAATTACAATCAATTTTTTAAAAGCCTCATTTTTCCTTGTATTTATTATTTGATTTTTTAGTAAATTTATAAACTTTAATTTCCTTGTATGGTGATAATGGAAATAGTCTCTCTACTTTAATGTGACGACCCAAAGGGTCATTACTTGCTTTCAGTTGATTTTTGTGTCTCTGAGGCCTTGAAAATCTCATTAGAGTCGCCCCGAATTGCGTGCGCAATTCGGGCGCGTAGCCGGAAAGCTTAAATATAAAACTTTGTGAAAAAAAATGCTAAGTTTTGATGTTAAAAGGAATAATCTTGACTTCGGTCAATATTTTGGGTAAACGGACCCGGATTCGTGATTCAACGGTCCTAGAGGGTCCGTAGGAAAATATGGGACTTGGGCGTATGCCAGGAATCGAATTCCGAGGTCCCAAGCCCGAGAAATAAATTTTTAAATGAAATTATTTTCAGAAATTGATTAAGGAAATTTGAAATGAAAACTGATTAGAAAGCAATGGTATCGGGCCCGTATTTTGATTCCGGTGTCCGGTACAGGTCTTATATATGACTTGAGTCATTCCTGTGAAATTTGGTTAAAAACGGACATCGTTTGACGCGATCCGGATCTTAATTGAGAAATTTGATGTTTAAAAGAGTTTTGAGAAATTTCAGTGATCTCGAGGTTTAATTCGATGCTCGTGATGTTATTTTGGTAATTTTATTACACGAATATGTCCGTAGGATATTTTTGAGGTTGTATGTATACTTGGGTTGGAAGTTCGAGGGCTCGGGTGAGTTTCGAGTAGGTTCCGGGATGCCTTAGGCTTAGAAAGTCAGGTGTTGCAGGTTCAGGAAGCCACAGCCTTTGAACCCTCTAGTGCGGTCCGTGAGAAATCGCCTGCGACCGCGGAGGGGCCAACGCGGCCGCGGTCGCCTTTGTACGGTCCGCGGTGGAAACTGTGCGGCCGCAGTCACCTTTGTGCAGTCCGCACAGGGTGCTCAAATGCAGGTCTTTAGGGAGGGGCCAGCGCGGCCACAGTCGCCTTTATGCGGTCCGCGGTGGAGGCTGTGCGGCCATAGTCCATTTGATGCGGTCCGCACTGGGGGTCTGATGGGGGTATAAATAAACGGGAATTTCAGCTATTTTTCACTTTTCAAAATCCCAAAAACATGAGAGGCGATTTTTCAAATAACGTTTCTTCTCCAAAACGTTGGTAAGTGATTTCTAACTCATTTTCTTCACTCCTTGACATCTTTTAACATGATTTCAACTTCAAATCAAAGATTTTCATGGGGAAATTGGGTGTTTTGGGTAGAACCTAGGTTCTTCTAAAATTGAGGATTTGGACCTCAAGTTGAGGTCCGATTTCAAAACAAATTATAAATTTGGATTCGTGGGGGAATGGGTAATCGGGTTTCGGTCCGGACCTCGGGTTTCGACCATTTGGGCCCGGGGGTAATTTCTGACTTTTGGGTAAAATTTTAGAAAACTCATTTTCATGCATTGGGGTTGATTCATTTAGCACTTATTGATGTAATTAAGTAACTTGTGACTAGATTCGAGTGGATTGGTGGTGGAATCAAGGGGTAAAGCTATAGTTGAGACTTGAGTGGTGATCAAGGCATCGAGGTAAGTGTTTGGTCTAACCCTAGCTTGAGGGATTAGGAGTTGAGTCATACTTGCTACTTGCTTCTTGTTGAGTACGACGTATAGGCATGGTGACGAGTATCTATACGTTGGTGTCAAGCATGACCGTGAGTCTTAAATTGAAAGTTGTTGTGTTCTTAAATGACACTTGGGTGCTTTACTTAATGATCTTCGATGACTGAGCATTTTCAAAAATTGAACTGAGTACAAGTTGAGTTGAGATTGGTTATAGCTGATTCTCCCTTGCTGGGATGACTAATTCAATATTGTTGTTCCCTTGCCTGGAAAATTATAATATTGTTGTGTTCCCTTGCCGTGAATTTATTATATTATTTATGTTCCCTTGCTAGGATTTCTTGTGATTGTGTGATGAAATGTAAAAGGGAGCAGGTGGTATGCCTACCACAAGATATAATGAAATGGGAGCGGGTGGTACGCCTACCACGAGATATGATGAAATGGGAGCGGGTGATACGCCTACCACAAGATATACTGAAATGGGAGCGGGTGGTACGCCTACCACAAGATATACTGAAATGGGAGCGGGTGGTACGCCTACCACAAGATATGAGAAATGGGATCGGGTTGCACGCCTGCAACAAGATGAAACTGAAAGTTGTCTTATTTCTCTTTATCCGTGTTAGAAGTTAAATTGTAGTTTCCTTACTGTTCTTTGATATTCTGTTTTATCTGCTACCTTCGGAGCATGTTTCCCCTTTCCCAGCTTTGATTGCTTATTACCTGTTTACTTTTCCGCCATATAGTATGTAACTGCACAGGTTTATCTGGAGTTTGGTTCTAGCCTCGTCACTACCTCGCCGGGGTTAGGCCAGACACTTACCAGCACATGGGGTCGGTTGTGCTGATACTACACTCTGTGCTCTTTTGCACAGATCCAGGTCTTGGACAACAGCAGTAGCGCGGGAGCCAACTTTCAGTCCAGTAAGACACCGAGGTAGCCTTGCAAGCGTCCGCAGGCCTGACGTCTCCTCTATCTTTATTTCAGTATGTTATCTCATGTATTCGAGACAAACAATTTGTATTTTTCTTTCAAGCGGTTGTATTTAGTACTTTTAGAAGTTCGTGAGTAATGTGACACCAGTTCTTGGGTAGAGGCATATGTTGATTTCCGTATTATTGTTCAGTTTCTTTAATTTAAGTCTTCTGTATATTCATTAAATTCCGCTGTTTTCATGCTATCACTGATAATCGTTAAAAGAAGTGATTTGTTAATGAAGTAAGCTGTTAAGGATTGTCTTGCCTAGCTCACATTAGTAGGCGCCATCACGACTCCCGAGGGTGAGAATTCCGGGTCGTGACATTCACGTAAAGTCTATATATACCCCACCTTCTTTAAACCTTACTCGTGGTAATATGGGTACATTATTATTGTTGTTGTTAATAGTATTTGAAAATAATTAGATTTTCTTAAAAAAATTCAAGTTCTTTATATTAATTTCACAAATTAAATTAAAAACAATATATATTGTAACTAATAGAACGCAATTATAAGTAGTGGCAAAATCAGAAAATTTAACAAATGGATTTAGAAAAATGTAAACTAGCATAGTGATTGAATACACTAAGCTATCAAGGGTATTTGACAATTCACACACACACACTTCTTGTTCAGGGTCCTCTAGAACCGCAAAACGGTTCGGATTGACTAGGTCCAGTTGGGTTATTCCACTCGCACAATTAGTATCCAGCCCCCCTTTGCTAGTAACCCGCTCTTGTAGCTCTTGTTCCTATGTTATGAAGCTAGGATTCCTCTTGTTCTTCTCTTGAGCTTGTAAAGGAGCCTCAACCTTGTTATCGACGAATCACCAGTCTTTCTTTTAGGGTATTATCCGCTGGAGATCTAGTGTTGTAGTTTATATATATATGCACGTATAAAGAGATTATTTTAACATATTTGTACAATGTAATTTTTCGACGAATGAGATTCACTTGAATTGCTCTTCAATACTTTTAGCTCCACTATTTCATATAATTAAATTACAAGTGTCAAGTGTTGAAAAATATTTTAAGCGCCAAAAATGATTTTTTTTGGTAATTAATTTTTATTTCCAGGAAAAATATTTACAAATATAACAAAAAAATCCTTATCACTATCTACCTAGGTTTGGACATGCAGCCCCAAACCAAGCATAAATATGAATAATAAATATGAAATCAAGTCAAAATTAGCATAACTGTAATAGACAGTTGGTGTATTTGCAATAAAAAATATTTTTTAAAATAATTAAAATTACTTTAATTTAATTAAATAAATCAATTAAAAAACAATTATTTTCACTATAACAATTATAAAATTGACGATATTTTTTAATCAACAACCATAGTACTGGTTATTATAAATGGAAATAATTTGATTTAACTGTTGATAAACATAATAAAATTTTAATTAGTAGTTTTTTTTGTTAGAAAAAATTAATCTTATGGTATTTTGGTAACATAAAAAATTTAAAGTGAAAATAAATTGACAACAATTGAAGAGCGGCAAGTTGTATTTTGGTATTTTCGGTTTTATTCTATTTCAAAGTTGTATGAAAAAAGTAGCGGCAATTTTCCCTCCTTTTCTTTTTTGTGTTCCCAAGTCCCTCTTTTTAGTTGAGTAGCGCCGCCTCCCATTTCTCAATTCTCCTCCATTCCTCTCTTAATTCTTTGTGACATTCATTTCTCCATCAAATTATTGCACCAGTTAAATCTACTATATTGCTTCCATTAATATTTTATTTCTTTTTCTTTCACACACATAGATCCTCTTATTCAATAATGCTTAATTTTCTCTAATATCTTTTATTGATTTAACAGCATAAAAGATCAAATTCGCGTGATGGGCATTTTAAGACGCAAAGCCACTTCTGATGCCTCCTTTGCTTTGATACAAATCCTCAAGCTAAGTTAAAGAAATATTATTTGTACTTCAATTTATTTTTCTGTTGCGTCTCTCATACGAAATTCTTTTTCTTTCAGTTGTAGGGCAATAAAAATTTGGGTTTCTCTAGATGACATATTACGTGTATGTATTTGTGGGTTCTTATTGATTTAATTTTATTGTAGAGGTACGAAGAAATTTGTCTATTATTCTTTATTTTTTGAAAGATTAAGTACTCTTAATTTTATATCTCTTCTTCTTAATTCTTGTGGTTATTTGCAGTCAAAGAAGAATTAATATTTATTGTCTAACTTCGAGTAAGCATCTTTCTACCAGTACTAATTTGTCATTCTATTATTTGTTTCACTAATTAAAATATGATATGTTATTTTTTGGCTAAATCTTGTTCATCAAAAAGTATGTACTAAAATTGTTTTTTTCTTCAACAGGTACATGAAAGTGTAAATTTATTCAAGAACAACTTTACTAGACGAGTGGTTACATTAGTGTTTGAGGAAGCAGTTACTAAAATTATTTGTATTTTGATTCGACCTCATGTTGTTGAATCAATTTTATTTTATTTCGGTGTTTTAGTTTACGGAGTTTGTAATGAATATTATCTCAATGTAGTATTAGTTCTTAGTTATGTGATCGTCGGTGAAAATTTTTGTTGTTACCTTCCATTTTTACTATGTTATTTCCATTTAGTAAATGATAAATTCTGGAATTAATGAGAAATTAGATAAATACTACTTATAAATAGTAGCACTGCGGATTTTAATGTCATCAAATATTCATCAAATTTTAGTGACAAAAATATTATTTGTCCGAGAATCATCTTTTTAGTAATTTGTATTTTATGATTATTTTAATTTTAAATAATTTTGTAAAAAAATATTATTTTTAGTGACGACATAATAGTTTTCAACTACAAATTGTAAATTATTCTTGTAAAAGCAAAGTTGTCACTATTTTATATATTTAGGGACGAAATATCTTTTGTACATAAAAGGTAGTCTTTAGTGACAAAATAACGTCGATTTAACTACGAAATATATATAACTTTAGAGACATTTGATATTGTCACTAATTAAACTAAATAGTTAGCGACAAGGTAGTTTCGTCGGCATTGATAATCTTTTTAGTGACAAAAGCACGCTATTAACGACGAATATTTTATACTTTTTTTGGCGAACAAGTTCGTCACAAATACTAGGCATTTGGGAACGAAAAAAAATTTCGTCCCTAATATAACTTGATTTAGTGACGAACCACCAAATTGTCTTTGTATACTTTTGGTGACGCTGTTTTTGGGACGAATAATTAATGAATTATTTTTTGTCTCAAAAGATTTTTTGTGACGAAATATGACTTTTAAATGACAAAATAGTTCGTCATTGATAATCAAATTTGTTGTAGCGAGGCAATCCCATTGCATATTTTATAAGTTGTAGCATTACTGAGACATATCCACTATCAACTCCAGAATGACGATATGCTTGACAACATTTTTGCCACGACACAAACATTTGTTTGCTTGTTTTTATATTATTTTCCCTATTATATTGGGAAAAATTATATTTAAATATAAAGGTGACGTGTCGAGACACGTAGACTGGTCAAATAGTCAAAGAATTACAACTGGCTAAGAGACACGAGTTGCAACAGATACGAGCAAATGGAAGAGGAAGAGGCACGGGCAGTTATTCAAATAACTCAGCGCTCGTACCTATCTAAGTCATTTATGTCCGAGAATCAAAAGGAATAAATCTGACAATAGAAAAAAGTGCAGATACGGCATTTAATAGGCATTAAATGTGGAATACGTTAGAGAATTTGTATTGAATGTAATGATTATGTAACGTAGCATTCAATATCTTTAATTACTCATAATAGCCTTATTATGATTTGGGCAAAACATATATCTCCAAGATATCTATAAAAGGGAAATATATGATCAATTGTAAGGACACAAAACACTATTGGAATAAACTTTGGCTTACTTGTTTTTCTTGATTACTCGCTTGCTACCTAAAATTACTTCCTCTTATACATTCTTTTGATTATCAGTAACATGTGTTCTTCTAAATCCCAGGTTTGACTAAAATTTCATTTTTTGGTTAAACAAATTGGTTCCGTTACCGGAAAACTGATAATCTATTTTCTTTTCACTTAACTTTCCTTGTTGCATCAATTATGTCGAACAACAATGACAACACTCAAGGAAACTAAGAGAACCAACAAAATCAGGGAGATCCACAGAATATTAACACTCAAGTTCCTACTCAATGAGACTCTCCACGGCAATCTCGTGAGGGTACTCCTGATGGGTCTCAAATAAACGAATATGCTCAATTTGAAAATGCTGAAGCTGTTGATGAAGTTTTGCAGAAATTAATTGTTGCTCAGGTTAACAAAGTTGTTGAGGCACTTGTTAACCAGTCACCTGTTGCAACACCCACACCTACTCCAAATAATAGCACTTTGGAAAACCCTCGTTCCAGGCTTGTTAACTCAGGCAACGGTGGAACTCCCAGTGAATCGCAGGAGAGAGAACCAGGTAATGTAATTAATTCTGATTTACAAAATTTAGTACTAACCTTGCAGAAACAGCTCAAGGAGCAAAGTGAGCGCATAGAGCAGATACCCGGGGTGCCGCCCATAATCAAAGGGGTAGATATGGATAGATATTCGCAACAACCCTGGAAGCTAAGTGTTGTTCCACTCCCAATTCCAAAAAAGTTCAAAATGCCTGATATTCCAAAATATGATGGAACAACAGACCCACGAGATCACGTGACTGCATTCACAACGGGCGTAAAAGGCAACGATTTGACTAAGCAGGAGATTGAATCAGTATTAGTCAAAAAATTTGGTGAAACGCTCACCAAATGAGCACTGACATGGTATTCTCTTTTACCCGAAAATTCAATAAATTCTTTTGCTGAGCTTGTAGATTCTTTCATCAAAGCACACTCGGGAGTTCAAAAAGTATGAAAAGAATGGAGGATATTTTCAAAATCAAGCAAGGGGACTCGGAATTGCTTAGAGAATTCGTGGACAGATTTCAACGTGAAAGAATGACATTGCCACGTGTACCTGACAACTGGGCAGCTATAGCTTTCACAAGTAATTTGAATGAAAAAAGCTCAGAAGCTACGAGGAGACTCAAGGAAAGCCTTCGAGAATTCTCAGCTACAACGTGGAATGATGTTTATAACAGGTATAGCACGAAGCTAAGGATTGAGGAAGATACTGTTCCATGATTTCAAAAAGAAGAAAAGGTAAGTTTGAGACGTGCGGAGACCGAAAAAAGATCCGGTAAAAATAGGTACGAACCTTACATGGGACCTGCGGGAAAGGACTCACGGTCAAAGCAGGATAATCAAAGGTACGATCACAGATCAAGAAATAGAGAATCAGGTTCTTCATCAAGATTCAGGAATGAGTGAAACAACTATGAGTCACGAGATGATGATAGGAATTTAAAAGCGAGATTCGGTGGTTACAACTTCAACGTCAGCACCTCCGAGCTCGTTGCTGTTTTGAGAAGCATGAGAGATAAGGTTCGATGGCCAAAGGAAATGAGATCGAATCCAAACAGGCGCAACCCTGACCATTGGTGCGAGTTTCATAATGACCACGGACATAAAACAGCAGATTGTAGATTTTTACAAAGTGAAGTTGATCATTTATTAAAACAAGAATATCTTACTGACCATTGGTCAGGTGCAGTTATTAAAACAGATGGTCAGGCGCAACCCTGATCATTGGTGCGAGTTTCATAATGACCACGGACATAAAACAGCAGATTGCAGATTTTTACAAAGCGAAGTTGATCATTTATTAAAACAAGAATATCTTACTGAGTTGTTCAGTGAGAAAGGTAAGCAAGCTTACATGAAGAACAGGCAGGAGCCTCCAAAACCACTTTCTCCCAAAGAATTGTCAACGTTATAAGTGGGGGTGAAGACGCCAATGGCATATCATATACTGCAGCTAACAAAATTTCCAAAGTAACAATTACTCAAGGGAAACGAGTGCAACATGTTTTAGAGGAAGACAACATTACATTCAATGACGCAGATGCAGATGACGTATTAACCCCTCATAACGACGCACAAGTAATATCTTTAATTATATATGATACTAATGTGAAACGAGTTTTGATTGATCCAGGTAGTTTCGTGAACATTATTTTGCTAAGAGTATTACGTGAGATGCAAGCTGAAGATAAAATGATACTAAAGGCGCATACTCTATCTGGATTTGATAATTCTAGTGTCCTCACAAAAGGAGAGTTAACACTCACCACATTCGCGGAAGGAGTCGTCAAAGATACAAAGTTCCAGGTGGTAGATATGGAGATGGCTTACAACATGATTCTTGGGAGACCATGGATCCACGAAATGGATGTTGTTCCTTCAACCTTGCATCAAGTTATTAAATTTCCATCGCCATGGGGAAGCAAGGATGCAACAATACTTAGAAAAGGTATGGGAATTGATAAAGCAATTTCAAACCTGGAAAGTTATACAAATACCAAGGGATGAAAATGTTGAAGCGGACGCCCTAGCTAATCTCGCATCTGCAGCTGATGTGGCAAGCGATGCAAACACCTCAGTTATACAATAATTTCATTCAGTTCTAGATCCTGATAAGAATGAGGTAAATTTTAATAATTTAACTTGGGATTGGAGGAACGAGATTGTTGCTTTTTTGCAGTATGGTACCATCCCTGATGATAAGAAAAAAGCTCATGCGCTTCGAAAGAAGGATGCTCGGTACTGCTTAAAGCAAGGCAATTTATATCGTAAAATGTTCGGTGATCCCTTAGCAAGATGCCTCGGATCTTCGCAAACGGAGTAGGTAATGAAAGAAATACACGTGGGACATTGCGGGAATCACGCATGAGGAAGTTCATTGGTAAGAACCTTAATTAGGGCAGGTTATTACTGGCCTAAAATGGAAGAAGAAGCAGAATATTTCGTGGCCAAATGTGATAAATGTCAAAGGTACGGTAACAATATGCATAGACCTGCGGAGTTATTACATCCGGTCATTGCGCCATGACCATTTATGAAATAGGGAATGGATATCGTGGGTCCATTACCGCAAGCAAAAGGACAGTAAAGTTTCTGCTCGTACTCACTGATTATTTTACTAAATGGGTAGAGGCAGGAGCATTTAAGCAGGTGCGAGAAAAGGAAGTCAAAGATTTTATTTGGCGGAATATCATATGCCGATTCGGTGTACCAAAGGAGATCATGTGTGATAATGGCCCTCAATTTATTGGAGCTCAAGTCACGGAATTCTTTCAAAGTTGGCAAATTAAAAGGATTACGTCAACACCTTATCATCCGGTGGGTAATGGGCAAACAAAATCAACGAACAACGTTATTATCAATAATTTAAAGAAACGATTAGAGGAATCAAAAGGTAACTGGCCTGAAGTGTTACCTGGAGTTTTATGGGCATATCGCACAACTGCAAAAACAAGTACAGGAGAAACACCGTTTTCATTGGTTTATGGAGCTGAGGCTTTAATTCCAGTTGAGATAGGGGAACCAAGTACACGGTTCACACAGGCGACACAAGAATCTAATGACGAGGAGATGCGGGTCAATCTAGATTTACTCGAGGGGAGGAGAAAAGCTGCATTAATAAGAATGACGGCACAAAA